CTCACAAGCTGCCACTGCTACCACTGTCCACTGAGAGCGGCAGAACCACCAGCAGGGGCTCCTTCACTGATCTCAGTCCCTGGGCTGGTTTGTATAGAAGGAGGCACTCTTTCAGTTAGTTCGACTTACAACTGATAGGAGAGCCTTAAAGTGGGCTTGGAATCTAACAGACAGTGGCGTAGCGTGGGTTGTCAGCACCCGGGGCAAGGCAAGTAATTTGCGCCCCCTAACCCGTGGATTTGCGCCCCCTAACCCGTGGATTTGCGCCCCCTAACCCATGGATTTGCCCTAACCCCAGATGTTGCGCCCGGTGCGGCTGGCCCCCCCTGCACCCCCCACGCTACGCCACTGCTAACAGACAACCAGTGCAACTGCTTTAAATCAGGTGTTTGATGCATTTTTGCAGCTGACCGCCGCCAACAACCTGGCTGCGACATTCTGCAAGCAGTTGGAGCTTCCAAACGGTCTTTAAGTGCAGCCTTGCACAGAGCTCATTGCAACAGTCTTGGAGCCGGCTTGAATGAACATCGATGCAGAACTACACTACATAAATTAGATTCCCACCCCCAGAAATTGTTTTCCTTCTCTTTCCGAATTGCCCCTTTGTACCTATGTGCTTCACTTATAAATAAATAAATAAATCAATCAATCCCTTTTTGTTTTCACTTCTGTGACGGATGTTAAACTGAAGCCTAACAATCATGCCTAGATGTTCTGCAACATGATATAACATTTAGATAAAATAAGAAAGGATGCTAGGGGGGTTGGGAAGACCAGCACTGAGACTATGTGGTGGTGGGAGGGCATAAGTCTCATTATTGTCTACTCCCTTGTTCTTCCCTCAAAGTGTACCTTAGCACAGAGAAACAGTCCACAGGGGGCTGTTGGCAGCGACCACTGAGGCTTTGTGCGAAGTAGTTGTTTTATTCAGAATTTAAAGACATTGTGTAAAAGTGGGGAGGGACAAATTCCCTCAGGTGACGCGTCAATTACAACATAAATAGGCAAACATAAAGGGAATAAAGCTGTCTGGAGAACAAAAAAATTAAAACTATTTTTTTCCCCTTAGGGACTGACTTCCCTTGAAAATTGCATCAACATAAAACCACAGTGAGTCATGTTAAGGAACACAAGGCTGACCATAATCACGCAGTCGTGGCAAAAGGATTTTAGCTTAAAACCAACTTGAAACAACATTGGACATGACTGGTCCTATCCCTATCACCAGAGTTGCTCTTTGCTGATCTAATAAAAAGGGTTCCACCACCCCCACCCCACACATGCACACACACAATGATGCTTGTCAACTAGAGGTGTGTAAATAAGCTTCCTCCAAAAACCTGCTTGGAACAACAGAACTTCAAAGGTGATTATTAAAATGCTAATATGGTGGAACAGCAAGCAGTGACACAGAGAGCACTGCCAAGGAGAAAAACAAGGTACTGAAAGTTTTGTTTTCCTCATTCAGGACTGGATCTGTCACTCTTGCATTAAGAAATGAACAAAATAAAAGGACAACTCAGGAGCCCAGGCAGTGCATGTAAGGACCTATTTTGGATTCTATCCCATTTGTCTCTACCCCAGATTACTCCACCTTATAACATGCAAGAAACTGTGTAAGCAACCAAAGTTAAAAAAACAAACACAAAACCTGACTTGCATTTGTTGTTGTTGTTGTTGTTGTTGTCTGCCGTGGCCACCGCAGCACGAAGCATCCATCTGAGCCAGGAGGCGCCGCGGCCTCTGCCTCTTCCCCGCCGGAGGAGCCACCCTCCAGCCTCTGCCCACCTCCTCCAGCCCCGCTGGCAGCACCATCCTCCCTAAAAAAGGTGGACAATTCAGGGAAATGGGGGGTTGGGCACCGGAGAGAGCTTTGCACCACAGCACTGGATATGCTTAAGACAGCCCTGCAGGTGAGCCACCCTGGGAAGAGTCTATCAAAACATTAAACTTGGGCTACAGGTTGCTAAAGTGATATAGAGGCATCTTGAGCAATATAGATTTCCAAAGACGCTCTGTTACAAATTGATTATATCACGAAGATTATGTTTGCACAGACACAACGAATGCTTTCTTTCTCTCATGACAGAAAGCTGAAATCGAACAATAGGAAGGGAATAATTACAGGGCCTGAGCATGTATTGCAACTTCTGTTCAATACAGAGTTATGCTGAGGTGTGTCCTTGAGGTAATAGGCACACCCATGCTGCCAATTAATACTTTTACATGTTGCCAGCTTCCATGGTTGGTGAAAGAACTTCTAGGGACAGCATCACCTAGGTTTGTTTTCTTCAAGTGAGGGTGCACTGGAGACACATCAGGTGTGACTTCATAACAAACATACTGTAACAAGCCACCCCACTCTCTGAACAGTGTAAAATTCTGGAGGAAGATTTAGCAATTGACAAAACAGCAGTTGAATACTTTGCCATTGTCACCGTGTGACTTTGAAACTGAAAAACACAGATGCGAGGAGAAAGCAATCGGCTGTGTCAGGAATAATAGCTCTCAGACTTTTAACAGGTAGCTTATTACCTGGAACGTTTCCTGTTGTTGTTCTTTTCAGACAATGAAGAAAGCTAAAAGCAAATTATTAAACCATAGATCTTGAAAAGAGGTCACTTGGCTCATTGCTGTATAATGCCCCTTTGGCATTCCTGAGCACAGAGCTGTAGACTTTGCCACCTATTTAAAATGAAAAACAGTTGCTATGGGGGTTTTCCTCTCATTTTTTAATGTATAAAAGTCAGTCATACAAAGTGGTCACATTGCCTTTCTGACGCATGTATCCTTATATCATATAGATACTGTGTGGACATCAGATGGCCTAGTTTAAGCAGCAGTCTATAACTACTGTCCACCAACACAGGAAGAATGAGGGAATAATGCATTTTTCTTTTATTTTTCTTGAGCAGCAGATGCTGAGAAGAGCTATCTTCCTTCTGTGTGGGGACCCTGGTCTAAGTAGCTTCAGGATTTTGAGGGGTTCACTGGCATGAAACCCCTGAACCTGGTAGAGATAGGACATGAACCCTGAGAATTCTCTTAAGTTGTATCTGATCTTCTAGAATGTTCTGTGCAAAGTGGAAATGGCAGCACTGTTAGGGTAGTGGGACTTCTGATATTATTGTGACAAGTCCAGTCCAGCATTTGTCACCCTCTGGAGCTGGTCCTGGAGCTAAGTCTAATGTGTTGAGTGTTTTGGTTTACATTTTGTATGCAAAACAACTTATTTCATTTCTCATATACAAGTTTTTAACAGGCTACTTTTCCTCTCAGGAGCTATCAGCTATTTAATGTGGGTGAAAATCAGCACCATCTGTTTAATTCTGAATATGCAAGTGCCAACTTGCATCTCTCGTTCAAGAAGATTCGTCCAGTCAACTACAGTAGAGCAGGGGTTGAGCGATCAAAATAAATACATAAGCAGCCTTTAACACATTAATCCAAATGTCTCCACCGACGTCAGGAGGCGCTTCCTCATGTAGCAGTGTGGCTGCCAAGCACTTATGTAAATACAGTTTTTTTAATTAAATCCAATAATATAATAGCAAGAAACAATTAAGAGTGTGAATAATGAATGTTTGTTTAATCATTTCAACCTGTGCTTAGTGTATAATTCAATATTAATAGCATTAAAATGCAAGCTATATACAAAGTATTCCAGAGTAAACTAGATAGCCAGGGAGACAATCAGGACTAAAGAATGGGGCCAATAATATACTCACACTCATTTTTATTTTAAAATATATAAACTGAATATCTAAAGAAGTTCCCAAGGCTAAACACATTAACAATAAAAATGAGTTACAGATAGGTAGCCGTGTTGGTCTGCCATAGTCAAAACAAAAAAAATTCCTTCCAGTAGCACCTTAAAGACCAACTACGGTAAGTTAGTTCTTGGTATGAGCTTTCGTGTGCATGCACACTTCTTCAGATACACTGAAACAGAAGTTGCCAGATCCTTCTATATAGTGAGAAGGTGGGGAGGGGTATTACTCAGAAGGGTGGTGGGAATAAAAATGAGAAACATTATAAAATCAGTATGCTAGAAACACACAGACAAGTTTTTAAAAAAGAAATGGATAAAATATTTCACTCTCCTCAAGAGATCCAAAACACTAGTAGATCAATGCTATAACAGAGAAACCATTGTTTCCTTAGCCCAGGGGTGCCAGCTTGAATAAAATATTGGGGGGCAGGTAAGCCCCACCCTGCATAATCAATCACATGATGGTAATGCCCATCAAATTGGGGGGGCTAGACCCCCTCAAATATTTTATTGGGGGGCACAAAGACCTCTCAGCCTCTAGGAGTTGGCTCCTATGGCCCTGGTGAAATTGTGCCACCAGATTAGAAGGTAGAGGAAGCAGCTTTCCTCCTCATTCCTATTTTTTAAAAACTTATTTAATCCTTTCTTTAAACAAAAAACACCCTCCCATTGGTTTCAATAGGAGGAAAATTAACAATGCAAGAGGAAGGGACATTTTTAATTGGGAAAATGGTGCAAAACAGAAAGTCTTCAAAATAACCTTTTTCTAGCATCATGGTTTTATAGCTGCTACTAACTTTAAATCAAACAAAAACCCAAGGGACATCCTGCATGTCATCTCCTGCATCCCTAAGGAAGTGGTTTGGCGGGCCTTCTTGGGGAGAAAGTATTCTTAATGGTAGAGGTGCTCCTGGGAAGTCCCTGATCAAAGTCATGAAGTCTCTCACATCCTGCCTAAAACGGACCTAGTTTATGACCAGTGCAGGGCCAGGATGAATAAGTGTGATGCCTTTATGAAGTGCTTATTGCTGATAAGTGTTGCAGAGCATCATGAAGAGATGGCATCTAACCCAGAACTCACTGTCTGTTCTTTCCATATTTCATAACCAAAATATATATTAGGAATCAATTTGTATGCTTCAAGCACACATGTGGAAGGAACTTGGTTACAGCAATGGGTAAATGGAAAACTGTGCAAGGACTCGCAAATTTCTTAAGTTAAACCGCAGAGAATCCTGTGATTCTCCTGTTTGAGACGTGCACTTAGACTTGAGTCTTGATTAGTCTTGTGCATTTCTCAATATTAGATGGGCAGTTCTGAGTACTGCCAAAGAGGTCATGCCACTAAGTGAGTAAGTCTATTAGGCAAGAAATATTCATAGAACTCTTTCAGGAAGAGGAGAACAGATGTTTCTTCAGAATTCCCTATGTCATAAAAAGTTTCCCACTTGTGACGTTCTTGGCTGCTAGTTGCATAGATTTTTGCATTGTTGTAGATGTTTCGTATTTCCGTCCCCTAGAAGAAAATACAAAAACTACATTTCAAGACTCTATATATAACAATATTACTTAACATGATTTGAAACTATTTTCACGTATGAAAGTGTTTCTAAATGTTGTAATTGTTTTTTATATACAAAACTGTGATTGTTTTTATTGCAGATGTTTTTAATTGTGAAATTGCATCTGGATATTTTATGGGATTCATAAATGAAATAACCATATATGTAACTATATATTAGAGACTACCATAAGGCTAACATTCTGTGATGAATGGATGGGTCATGGACAGAGCTTGACAAAAAGCACTGAAGCTTCTCAGATCATTCTCACGTGATTACCGGTTTAAAAGACACAGTTTAAGCAAGAAAGAACACCCCTCCCCAAATTTTATAGCCATGTGTCCTTGTAATCCCTTAATCTGGTCCTGATTACAATGTAAACTGAAACAATGTTGTCTTCTGATCTAGTTCTAGTTCAGATAAAAACAGCAGCTGTAGAATGTGCATGTTCCTCCCATTCATGAAAGTTAACTTTGAAGTCCTGTTATTGCCTCTTATATGATAACGCTGTTAACTATCTCACAGCCCATATTTATACAATAACAAGCCAATTTATTAAGCAAGCAAGACACACCTGTTAAGTAAATCCTCCCTGTTACATTCCTTTGAAGGGGCATTCAGACTAAGTACACTCAGGCTGCACTCCTATATGCTTTACCTGATACAGATTGCACTCTTAAAGCCCCTTTAACAGAGCAGATCTTTCTGCAACCTAGATATTATTATTTTTTTCAAATTACCCTTGAAACTAGCAAAAAGGCAAACTGAATGTATGCACATTTAAATCATTTAATATGTACAGTTATTAAATAATTACAAATCCTGGCAAATATACTTGGATTTTACACACACATACAAATCTAAAACAAAAGAAGCATTGGAAATTGGTGGACTGTCAAAGTTGCCATTTTATTATTATTATTATTATTATTATTATTATTATTATTATTAGAATTTATATACCACCCTATACCAGGTGGATTTGCTATATCATCTGTAAAGAATGACATGGATAAAAATTCTGGGACCAGTGGTTAAACTCTCTGATTTCAACCTAGAAGCTTTAGGAATGTGAGCTAAAGCTAAGTGGTTTTAACAATCAATCCCTCTTAACAGGAGACTCTTGGAATTGTACTTCTGCATGGGAAACACTGTAGGGGCCTCAGACCAACTCTCAGACCCTTCCGAAACTGCAGCTCCCAGTATTCTTTGTTTAAAGTATATAGTGGGAATATGGCCTCAAAGAGGCTAGGCTAGCCTGATTCAGTCTGCATCCTTGCTAGAGATTAATATCTCTAATATCCTATTGATCTTAACTGGGTTTACAAGAGCAGACGTGTATAAGGTGAACACTTGCAGTGTAAGCAGTTTTTGCTTACTGTAAGGAGGCAGACCTAAAATTGTATTGAAAACTTCACACAAATCTTATCTTCAGCAATTGGTTGGCTAAACATATCCCAAGATTCTGAGATATCCATTATGAATTAAATACTGGTTGCTAATAACCAGCAAAACATCTAATTCCCTAAACCTATAAGATCTAGAAGAAAAAGCAAAGTTACACTGAAATGAAAGCTAAAAGATCGGATTTAGCTGTGGAAGCAGAGACACACATCTGCAGCATGCAGGTTTTGCTTTAATATCTGGTGTCCTTGCATGGGCAAGGTTCTTATCTTAAGTAAACTTTCTGGTCGGAGCACTTCTGACAATCCCTCCAAGTTAACACCACAAATCAGAGTCACTCCTCAGTTGCTAAAATTCTGAACAAGGGTTACTTAGCTATTGGATTTGCTAGCAGTCAATTACTTTGCAAGAATCAGGTGAGATACCTTAGGGATTTTACATTGTCCAAGGCAGGCTATGCAATTCATTGCATAAATACCCTACACCATCAGTTTCAAATTTATGGTCTGTGGATCCCAGAGCATCTGCATAGCCCACCCAGGGGGTCCGTGACACCATTCACATTTAAAAAAACCTACCATAGAGATATCAAAATTTTCTAAAGTAGGGGTCCATGGCTTGGCTTTTGAAAAGCAGGGGGTCTGCAGTACTTAGCTAACTGGGAACCACTGTCCTACATGATGAAAATGTGCAATATTGATGTAGGTGAAAGTCTGCAAGTATGGTGTGGGGGAAAACCACCATTATATATCAATGTTCAATATTGTAGCAAAGTGGTTAAATTGTAGTGCAAGGCTGTACAGTAATTGCTTAAGCCTGGGAGTCATTCCATGGAGCTTCAACTCAGTGGGACTTACTTTCATGAAGAAGCACATAGGATAATGGTGCAAGGGCAGCCTATCTCAACCTGTTGCCCTCTAGAAGTTTTGTACTACAAATCCCATCATCCTAGTCATTAGCCATGCTGGCTGGGGCTGAAGGGAGTTGAAGTCCAAAATGTCTGGAAGGCATCAGGTTGGGGAAGGCTAGTATTTGTTCATATATTAACCCCCCCCTACACACACACACGCTTAATAGGCATTAAGGGTAAAGGTAAAGGGACCCCTGACCATTAGGTCCAGTCGTGACCGACTCTGGGGTTGCAGTGCTCATCTCGCTTTATTGGCCAAGGAAGCTGGCGTACAGCTTCCGGGTCATGTGGCCAGCATGACTAAGCCGCTTCTGGCGAATCAGAGCAGCGCACGGAAATGCCATTTACCTTCCCGCCGGAGCGGTACCTATTTATCTACAGTGGTACCTCGGGTTACATACGCTTCAGTTACACACTCCGCTAACCTAGAAATAGTGCTTCAGGTTAAGAACTTTGCTTCAGGATAAGTACAGAAATCGTGCTCCGGCGGCACGGCAGCAGCAGGAGGCCCCATTAGCTAAAGTGGTGCTTCAGGTTAAGAACAGTTTCAGGTTAAGAACAGACCTCTGGAACGAATTAAGTACTTAACCCAAGGTACCACTGTACTTGCACTTTAACGTGCTTTCGAACTGCTAGGTTGGCAGGAGCAGGGACTGAGCAACGGGCGCTCACCCTGTTGCGGGGATTCGAACCGCCAACGTTCTGATCGTCAAGCCCTAGACTCTGTGGTTTAACCCACAGCACCACCCGCATCCCTTAATAGGCATTAGGGGACCCTAATACATAGAACATTCCATACACTTGTAGTGGCTACCAAGTTCCAAGAGTGAGTACAGGTGTCTGTAGCTTCAAGGAGGGACTAACAAAGAGAACCAGCTTTGGCACTGTTTGGCGCCTCAGTAACAAGAAAATGCAAAGCTAATGCCAAAGCGAGCAAATGCTAAACTCTGTCCTTCCTGGGAGCACAGAGCAAGAGATAGCTAGAGGGAGGCTTCTGTAGTATTGAAACTAGTGGCCCTTACAGGTGCATGGAGGCTCTCCCCATATAGTGCATCATTAAGAGACTTAACATTCAGCATATCTGTCAGTGAATCAGCTCTAATATACCATATTTCATTCACATAACCTTCTCTAGCCTCCTGAAAGACAATAGTCTGACTCGAGATTCCTCAGCTGACAAGTCAGCTGTTGCACATAGATAGCAGGCTTTTTGAACGATATTCCACTGATATTTGTGTGCCAGTGGTGCAGTCTGCAATGATTTATACGATATTACTAAGTGCTTCACTTGCAGCCTGAAGAAGTACAAACCTTTCTGTGTTTTGCTGTCTGTCTTCCGTGCCATCGTCTCATCCCTCTTCTTTAATCATCAGACCCATTCCTATTCTGAGTTTGCACTATTGTCCCATGCGGAAATTTCACCCGGCCCATCTGAAGTCTCCTCATCCTCCATTTTGTCAACAATGTGCAATGCATCAGTCTCATCTGGCACACATCTCCTGAGGATGCAAATGTAATTGCACAAACTCAGGTGTTGTTGTTTTAAAAACAAAACAAAACCATGAGCCAACATTGCCAAGTGGTAAAAGCATGTTTATATTCATAAGAACAAAAAGTGAAAGCGCTGCCTCGGATGCATCCAGAGTTTTAATATGTTTGGGGCCTCTTAACCTAATTTCAAAATTGTTTCTCAAACTTCTGTACACTTGGGCTGTGCAAAACTCTTAACATTTGCTAGATGAACTTTGATATATTTGTTTTACATTAAGTGAGACATAGTTGGCTAGTGAGTAAGCCTTAGCTAAGGGTTCCAACGGCTGAAACTTTTAGAAAGCCTTATTTTGAAATACATATTTCCACACAAGTCAAGACAGAAATGACATTAAAATATCACAAATCTCCATATTTGTAAACTTGGCATACACAACGATTAGATCCAGCATTAAATCTTGAAAAGTGGTATTCCTCAAGTCAAAGGGGGTATTTTTGGATAACATACTTCAAGCATTTTGAGTACACAAACATTGTGCAAATAGCAGGGCTGCCATACATCCAAATTTTCCCGGATACTTCCAAGGTTTCAAAGGCGGAATTGATGTCTGAGGGGAATTTCCGAAAGGCGGTGTTTCGTCCAGGATCTTAGGCAAGTCAACTGAAAAATTGTGGGGGTTTTTGGCGTTTTTGTAACATAAAGCTCAACAACTTTTGGGGTGTCCTGGTTTTTCCTTTTTGAAATATAGCAACCCTACAAATAGTTAATTAATTACAAAATCACCTTGGAATCACTTTATGTAGGCATATAGCCCAGATGAGGGCAGAACTTAGGTGCAAAGGCATGACATAAAGGTGCATAAAGTCTACATATGCACATTTAGATGTATACACAATGTATATGTATAGATTGTCTCTGGGATAGTGAAATGCTAGATTCTGGTTGTTAGATGGTTTGTGTTTTATCAGCACAATAGTTTGCAGTGCACACAGCTAAACTATAAGCAACTTTAAAAAAATTAATGCCACACTTGCAACTTACATTTTAAGTAGGTATTGTAGCACTGTCATGGCTTCACCCAAAGAATCCTGGGAACTGTAGTTTGTTAAGTGTGGTGAGAATTGTTAGGCAACTCCTATTCCCTTCACAGAGCTATAATTCTCAGAGTTCCCTGTGAAGAGGGATTGATGGTTAAAAGGCCAATTTGTGAGGCATGGAAAGGTGGGATTTAGAAGTTAGTCCCACTGCATTCAGTGGTCTTAGAAAGTGCATTTAAAGACTGTGGCCTAACAGCACAATCCTATAGATATTTTAGTATGGCTCACTCGCAAGTAAGTGTGTACAAGATTGCAGCCTAAACTTCACTCCGGTGTAATAAAATATTCACATAAAAGGTCTACATTTTATTTTCAAGTACTCCATTTTGCTGGCTACTGTGTTCATAGTGTTTATGAAAGATAAGAAATGCACCATTTACAAGCTTCGGTTCTATAAATAATGGCAAAACTTCGTCTTCCTAGAAAACACAGCAGTTATAGTGTTTTGACAGAACTGATGAAGGCTTAAGTGGTGGCTACAACTTCTTCCAGCAAAAGAAACAAAAATTCTATTGCTTCCACAACAACAGAGACTTTCAAATACAAAACCAGAACGGCAGGGCTCCTATTTAAGGAACAATATCTAAACACTGGGCACAATTATATATTTTAAAATGGAATCGTAAACTGAACCTGTTGCTACATGCTAAATTACCTACATGCAGTCCACCAGACTTAAGCAATTATAGTTTTAAACAAATTCCTTGCCCTCTAATTTGTTTAATGATTTTCTGGTGGGGACACATTGTACCGAAAAAAACAAATTCTCATTTTTGATCCAGAGTGCTTTTATTTTTTAAAGGCTACAATCCTAGCCTGGTTCTCATGGCATGCTAAACCAAGACTTGGCTGGACAACATACCTGTGGGCCCTTAGAAAGGAGCTTGCAGCTGCTTTGCTGCTCCCAAGCCCTTTTTGCTACCACAACATGATGAGCTAATGTCATGAACTGGCTGGAGACAGAAGAGTGGTGGGAGGCGCCAGCAGAGGAACCACCAGGGGAAGAAGACTCAGAGCCAGGGGATTGGTGGAGGGACAATGATGAGTGGTCAGAAGGAGAAGATGGGAGTGGGGAGAGGTGTTGGAAGATGGAGCGGCAACAGGGTTTAGTGAGCAGGAAGAGTCTGTGGCTGAATGCAGTTCAGACTCTGAGGCGGAAGCAGAGGCTGGAGAGGAGGGGGTCAAGAGGCTCCTGAAGAATCCAGGGATTCTCAGCCTCCTGCAGTGTCAAGCTCCCCAAGAAGGCACAGAATAATGAGGAGAGCAGAACAGATGTCAGAGGTGTGCAGACACCTCTGCAGACACTGTTTGAGACTGTGTGGGGAAAACCCTGGAGAGGAGGAGCCTTAGAGAGAGGTTGTGTTGTAAACAAAAATTGCCCTTTTCGCTTATGGGGTATCCAAGAGCCCATATAGAGTCCTTACATAGGTTCCCTATTGGTAGGAGAAGATAACAGAGGCCAACCAGAGAATATTGAGAAGCAAAGCAGCTAGTAAGCTTGATCTTTATTGATCTGTTGCCACAGGGTGCCCCCCTCACCCACAGGAGAGGAGGAGGAACCCCGGAAAATGGCGCGCAAGGCCTTATAAAGACTTTTGAAATTGCCACCCTGTAGATCAAGACCTTGGGGACGCGGGTGGCGCTGTGGGTAAACCCTCAGCGCCTAGGACTTGCCGATCGTCAGGTCGGCGGTTCGAATCCCCGCAGCGGGGTGCGCTCCCATCATTCGGTCCCAGCGCCTGCCAACCTAGCAGTTCGAAAGCACCCCCGGGTGCAAGTAGATAAATAGGGACCGCTTTATAGCGGGAAGGTAAACGTCGTTTCCGTGTGCTGCGCTGGTGCTGGCTCGCCAGAGCAGCTTCGTCACACTGGCCACATGACCCGGAAGTGTCTGCGGACAGCGCTGGCCCCCGGCCTCTTAAGTGAGATGGGCGCACAACCCTAGAGTCGGACACGACTGGCCCGTAAGGGCAGGGGTACCTTTACCTTAGATCAAGACCACCCCCAGAAACACCATACATACATCACAGAAGGGGTGTAACCTAAGACCACCTCTCAGATACATCATACCTACATCACAGAAAAGGCGATCTAAACAGAAATTTGAATGTTGTTTTTCTCCTGTCCTTGTTTATCTCCTGTCTGGCAACTTGATTGGATTGCCTGGGGAGCCTGGCCATTCTTTTGTAGTGATAAATACTTAGTTCCTGGGCCAGGTCACAGGCTCACACCCTATTCATATCTTAAATGTGCCCTTAAGACAGGATTTGTGAGGAAAGAGACAATGGGGAGGTTTCCCACTTTGACCTTACAGAGAAAACATTTGCTCAGTTTAGGAGTCAAAATGGTTCCAGGTCCGTCTTCCTGTGCTGATCTATGTACTGCTTGGTTGGTACGCTTATGAACATTACCATATATCTAAGACCTCAAAATTCCTATCACAGTAGGAAGGCGGGGCCCTTCAGTTCTCGCAACTATGTCATTGGGGCAAGACTTCCAAGAAAGAGTTGCTGAGACTACAGGGCCTGATCTATGGTTTGTTTCCGTGGATAAAGATTTAACTTCATTGGCCCTGGGTGATTAATTGTTTTTGATTGCTGACCTCCACCTTACTCAAGCCCTGACAGCTAAGTCAAGCTCAGAGGCAGATTTAAGAGCAGCATGACTGGCTTCCCCACACTGGGCACTGAGTCTAAGAGGCACTGCAGAGCACTGCAACTATGGCATAGTGAACTGAATAGAATGGAAGGCCCGAGGCAGGACGGGGCACCAAATTTTGGCCTTGAACAGGGCGCCGCTGCAATTTGAAAGACCCAAGTCTGCCCCGGCTAAGCTATGGCTGAGCATATCATCCAAACCTGGGCTTGTGGTTAAGCTTTGTCCTCACCAACTACAAGCCAAAGTTTGTTCTAGGTTGCACCTCAAAAAGTGACATTTTGTATGATAAGGTCGGACATAAGGATCTAGCAAAGGAAGACAAAGTGAAGATCTAGCTGAAACGTCTGTTGGTTTTTGGTGTACCGAAGGACGGGAACCACTGATCCAAATTTGGCCCGGGAGGCAATTTTCCCAAACCACACCCAACTGCCCTACACTTTACATCATTTGTGAACAGAGAGACACAGCTGGATTGGCTGCCCAGCCATTAGACATCCTAATGATGGCAGGTGATTGATAGGTGAATTGTTACATCCAACTGTCCAAGTTGGCCCACCTTACTCCATGTTCATATTTCCATGAAGACCAGTATGTAGTACAGGAAATAGACCAAGCTTTTCCCCAACCTTAGGGCATGAGCTTCCCCAGGGTGGAGTGAGATGCAAATGAGTTCCAGCAGTAGTCTAACATGCATTTATCATTTTATTCCCTGGAATAGCTTGTGAGGGCTGCTCCATGGAAACCCTTTTCACCTTTGATGTGAACCCTCCACAAGAACGTTGCACAACGGAAATAAACAAAACAACAGCAACACTGCATTGCATTTTGTGCAGCAGTTGTTTCACATGTTTAAAATACGATTAACCTCTCAAATCTAAGCCTAAAACCTGTGTGTATGGACACTTTGCCAGTGACCTTGGTGAGAGAAGACTCCTATCAAATGGTCTCCATTGTAAAAGTTCTTTGTATTCATTGTCTGACTTTTGAAGGTTCAATTGATCTCTTTTGTAGCCCTTATCATTGCACTTTCTGGCACCAGTGTGACTTTAACAATGCTCCCCTCCAGATGGGAACTCTCCAAATCAGATGCTAAAGTACTTTAGGAAATCCCTTTCTACAGACAAAACATGTTTCCAAAGCAGGATTCTAAGCCTTTTGTCCTGTTCTGAACAAAGTCATCCTGATTTGCAGCCATGGGACAAATGGACCACAGCAAGTGCAGCCTGTTTTCAGTAAAAAATAAATAAAATCAAGGGGTCTAGCAAGAAACACACATGATACAAACAGGGATGCAGTGCAATGGACACTTCTGCCTGTTCATTAAGCTTTTACTCTTTCAAAGTCAGTGCAAGTTTTAAAAAACGGTGCTCACTTCAGTACTTAGGAGAATTAAGGAGAAGTTGTCAGGAGGAATAAATCACAATGGCTGTAATCGAGCATGCTACTATGCATGATTCAGTCCCACTGATTGAAGTTGTTCTATCAATCTGAATGGGACTTAAGTGAGCATAATTGGATGCAAGGCTGCTTTCATCCTATTTCAATTCTAGGAAGTGTTGTGGTGGTGGTGCTAGTATCACTGTGTACACCTAAGACTGCAGCCCTATGCACATTTACTTGAACACAGCGGAACTTCCTTCCTGGAAAATCGGCATGCTGGTCAGGCTGTGAACTGGATCCATTTTTCTTTCAGTTATCTCAGAAGCTGCGGACAGAGACCATACAATTAAAATACATTCCCAGCACCACTCAAAGAATCTTGGGGACTGTAGTTTAGCCCTCAGAGCCACCATTCCAAGCACTCTAGTGCCTTTTTTTCCTTTAAAAAAAAAGTACTCCCATTTTGACTCAAGAAAATCACCATTTTATAGTTCAAATTGGGGAAAATAAATACAGTAAATGGACAAAAGTACAAAGAACATGCATTACATGGGGAAAGGACAGGAAGCCACCATTGGAGGTGGTAACAACGAAACTGACCAATCACCGTGCTAGATTCCAACTCCTACTTCACACATTAAACGCTCACTTCTGTCCAAGACTCAGGAAACGCCATGACAGGAAATGAGGCCACCATTGGGGTGGCAACAGAACTGACAATTCACCATGGTAGAGAAGAAAATATTTTAAAAAAAGTTTCTTCTCCTGTTAGATTCACAAAATGTTTAGGGGTATGTGTACCCCTGCGTACCCCCAGAAAAAAACACTGCCCTTAATAGACTAGTTCTCAAGATTCTTCTTGATCTCTGAGCACAGGTGTTATACGGTGACAAGACCTCACTCCTGTCAGCAATCGTGCTGCAGCATTGTTTGTTAAATAGCAGTTTCAGGGGTGCCTCAGACAGGAGGAGAGGGTTTAAAAACAGCAGCAGCAGCCTTCTCTGTGTTTCACAGATGTCCCAATCCTGATTGGATGCTAATAGCAAACAGCAATGTTACCTGTAGTTTAGCCTTTGGAAGCCAGAGAACAAGGCTCCAGTGTCCTACAGTGCTCCTGAACTATTCCCTCACAAGCAGAATAATCTTACGTTAAAACACTAGCATCACAGAAACCATTCAAATGTGTTTATTTTTCCTGTAGTGGAATGTGAATAACCTGGCGCAGGCTTTTGGAAACTGAGTACATGCAGCTCTGAAGGCTACCAACTTCAGCATGAACAATTCTCTGTGATTCTTCCTTTGTTTTAACCATTGTCTGTGCCATATGCCATTATCGTCACAGAGAGGCAGCCTTTTATCCTGGGAAGAAATTAGTGCAAAATAGTTCATCCAACTGTTTTAAGACTTCATATTAAAAAGAAAACAAAAACCCTGGCAAGGAGAAATAGTACCTGACCCTGGAAGAATGGAGACAAACAGGCTTATGCAACCATCTGTTGCAACCCGCCACCAAATCACACATCCTCCCTTTCTCAGTATGTGTATCAAATGCTGGAATGTACTGAATTTGTATTAAAACAGTAGCTGATTTCCCGAGCCCAGCTATTGCTAGTAGTAATCTGCCGTCTTCCTTTAACACCAGAACGTAAATATTAGCTAGCACGTTAGTTGTCAAACAAACAAACAAAAACATGCAGAATTTCAAAGCAAGGACAACAAAACATGGTGCTGATAATGCCAATGTTGCAGGTTCAATCCCCACATGGGACAGGTGCATATTCCTGCATTGCAAAGTGTTGGACTAGATGATTCTCAGGGTCCCTTCCAACTCTACAATTCTAGGATTCTAACATTACACACAGTACTGATTTCTCGAGATATTTCCAGTTTGGGGATAAGCACACTGATGTTCCACCCGCTTTTTTTCTTAGCTATCGTCTATACCCTTATATGGCAAATGTAAGAATATTGCAAGACATAATAAACACTTGGGATTAAATTTGTAACCCCCATTGGGATTACATTCATAACACCCTTTCTGCCTTTATCCTGGATCTGAATACAGTCACAGTAGTGTATGGCTTCAGCTTCAGAGGAGGAACCTGAGAGACCAGCGTTTAAATCCCCACTCCGCCATAAAGTTTGCTGGGTGACCTTGGGCCAATCATCTCTCAGTCTATAACCACAGAATTGTTGAGAGGATAAAAAAAATGGGGAGGGGAGAACCATGAATGTCCCCTTGAGAAGAGGAAAGCTACAAACATAGACCATGAGTGGTGAAACTCTGCTCCTGGACCTGCAGAGGTTTGCACTCAGTGGGTGGATGTCATGGAGAGCAGCCAGGGAACTGCACACATTCGCAGCCAGCCACACTGCCCCTTTCACACAAGGGGGATTAAGCCCTTAGTCACACGTTTGATACAGGAGAAAGGGCTTTAGGTGTGACTGCCACATTCCCAATGCACCACGTGCAATGCTAGGAAAGCAAGGAACTAGCCAAGCATGGGCACCTCTCACATATCCCTTGAACTCATGGAAGGGAGGGATGTCTTCCAAACTCCCTGAGATGAGTGCATGAAGGGAGCTAAACTGAATAGTTAAAATGTCACTAAATGATTAACTCTAAGCCTCTTTCAATGCCTGCTTATGGATACAGTGGAGATTTTTATCTGTACAGTATATGGAACACCATGGAAACAGTAAATGATACGTAAAATAAGAATTATTAAGTGTTTTGCACAATTAAAAAATGAACTATATAAATCACTCAGTAATATATTTATTATCCCAGATTACTTTGAGAGCTACATTTGGAGGGATGGCATCAAGCATCAAGGGTATGCCCTGCCCGATGTGTTGGACCAATGCCCATCTGAGATAACCCCATGGTTGTCATGAAGGCCATGAAGTCTTTAAATGTACTTTAAATATATACAACCAAGTATAAGAGACTCTCAGCTTCAGACATTTGCCCAGCATCTTGTCGAGACTGACTGGTAATGGGCAAAGGTAGTACATTCATTCTAGCTGCCTCCACCACATTTACTTAACTGATATTTATACTTTCTACAAAGAACAAATCAGGCATAAGGAAATTCCCAATTTCACCCACCTCTAACTAAATTCTGTGCCACCTAGCAAGTCACTTGGCTAAGCAGTGAGGATGGGAATCCTGTGATCCTCCAAACCAGCCTTCCCTCACCCAGTGCTCTCCCGTTGTTTCAAACTCCAGCACCCATCAATCCCAACCAGCATAGCTTAGATTTAGTAGTTCAAAACAGCTGGAGGTCACCGGCTTGGAGAAGGCTCGCCTCCAGAGGCTTATTTGATTTTTATCCCATCTTTCCTGAAAGGAGCTCAATGTGGTATTCCCCCCCACACACACTTTATCCTAACAACAACCCTGTGAGGCGGGTCGTTGGACTCCAAATCCTATCAGCCCCAGCCAATACGCATGGCCAATGGTCTGGGACAAGGGAGGTTGAAAGCCTCAACATCTAGAGAACCCCAGGCTCCCTAGCCCTGCAATAGAAGAGCACAAGCCACACAGAGAGAGAGATATGCAGCCTCGTGGATCCAGATGTGGGGAGAAATAGCATCCTGGAGGAGAGCAAACACTGATGTGGGTAAACAGGCGGCACAGAGCACGGCCGCTGACAGCCCAGGGTACATAATGGTCCTACAGGTGACTCAACCCTAAGCGTCAATAATGATATAAACGCGCTTGAACGCCGCCTGCGCTGACGTCAGCGTGCTGTCCCGCCCCCCTCCTCTCCGGCTGACCTCGGGTAAGCCTCTTTCGCGCGGATCCCGGCTGGGGAAGCTTCGGCCAATCAGCGAGGCCGGCGGCGCGAGGCGTCTTCGCGCGGGGAGGGGGGCGTGGCGTGCGTGTCGCGGCCTGGCAGCGGGCCTGTCGCGTGGGGGGAAGAAAGGGGGCGTGGCTAAGGTGTGCGGAGAGGGGGGAGGAGGAGAGGGGAAGGGCGGCCGTTGCGCTGAGTGGGCGGGGTGCCGCGGCGGCGGCGGCGCGGCGCTGGCGGCGTCTGCGCGCTGGCGGGCTTGGCTGGTACGTCAGCGGCAGGATGGCTGTAGCTGTTGACCCAGCAGCAGCAACAGTAGCAGGCTCCGGTGGCGGCTTGGCGGCCCCAGCGGTGGCAGTGGTGGCTGTGGGGCGGGAGGTGGCGGCGGCGGCGGCGGTGGCTTGGTAAGATGGCGGCGCTGCAGGAAGGGGGCAGGTATGGCGTGTCCTGCGGCAGAGTCACCCAGGACAACATCACGGTGCTACATGTCAAGCTGACCGAGACCGCCTTCCGAGCGCTGGAGAGCTACCAGGGGAGCAAGGTGAGGGGCGCCCCGGGGTCGACGGTCGTCCTCACTCGCCCGGGCTGGGACGCCCGGGAAGGGAAGAGGGACACGCAGCCGGCGCAAGGGGCGTGGAGGGGCTGCTTCCTCGAGGAATTCCACGCACCCCACTCATCCCAGGGCGTGAAATCTCGCCCCACACTCTGCTCTGTGTCCGGCTGAGGATCCCTTCGAAAAGTCTCCTCTTCTCCCACCCCCCCTTTCCATGGGACCGTCTCTCCATATGGTTCGTGCCTATTTATAGGCAGGGGGGTGGGAATAAGAATACTAATTCCACATTCTTCCTTCTCACCAACTTTTGATCCCCCCTCTCTTTTTTCTTTTCCTTTTGCGTAAGGGAAGGGGGGAAAAGTTTTGTGGGGCAACAAATGCCCCCAGCTGCCCTGTATGTACCTCACGCAGAAGGGAGGAGGAGGAGGAGGAGGAGGAGGTTGGCCGTGGCAGAGGGCGATCCTTTGAAAATGGCATTTACACAAGAAAGTCATTTTTCTCGGTGTCGGTGCCAGCTAGTGCCTCTGGAGCTGGCCGTGACCGGAGCCAGCCGTTCCCAGATGAGGCCGATTCTGCTGAGCTGTCATTTATTTATGGGCTTAGTTCTTCTGCCTGCTGATCTCGCTCGCTCGCTTGCTCTCCCTCCCCGGGGCAGGGAGAGAGGGATGGGCTGAGTTTTTCCCTAGGCCCAGCTTCTCAGCCAGCCCACCCCGAAAATGTGAAGTGGCCCTGGTTGTTTTTTTAAGGGACAATGGCAACTATGACAGTTTTATTGTACATCTTTATCATGCTGTCAGGAAAACTGTTTCTCACTGTCTTCCTGTGTCCCCCACCCACCAATACCTTGTCCCTCTCCCACCCCCATCCGTAACAGCTGCCTTGTGAGAAATCCTGATGGGGACAAGTTCCACAGCACATTCCAGTGGTAACAGCAGCTGTATAAATTGTTCAGCACATCGGAGATAATGTAGAAATATTTTAAATCGGTTTATATTGGGATTGTATTCCCCTTTTCATTTATATTCTGTAGATAGGTTGGATTCATGCAATGTTGTCTTTGTTTGGGGGATTAACACCCTACACACACACACCCCCAAAAAAAACAGCATAGGGGAAGGGCATTTTAGACTTAGGGGAATGGGTCAGTTAAAAAGAACATATGATAGATTTCTCTCTGTCAGGCTTCTCTTGTAAAAGTAGGGGACAGGAGAATTGATAGTCTTCTTTAGTTTTTCCTTACTGTAGCTTTCCATTGGAAACTTGAGCCTCCGCTTGTGTTTGTTCAGGGCACATTAAAAGTGGCTATATGTCCCAGCAAGGAGGATTAAGCTCTAATTAGCTGGTGTTTTAACATGGAATTTCAAATTAAATGTTACTTGTCTCATTTTTTTTTCCCTAAGGCCCATTTGTTACTCTCTCCCCTCTCCCTTACTGTTCTGAGAAATCTTGGAGAATTGTTACTTTGAGTACAATGAATCCCAATAAAAGGTTGACTCTTCTTTTTTCTTTTCTTTTAAAAAAATAATTCTATGTCTTTTGTAGTGCCAGCAGGCTTCCTTCCAAAAGATTTCCTTTGAAACAGTTCTAGGAGCAATTCTTAAAAGATAAGCCAGGAACATACTAAAACCAGACAGAATTTAAATAACAGGTTCTTGACAGACAACAGTCTCTCTTCTCAGAGTCTCAGTGCTGCTTTCCTTATGTAGTTCTTCATGTAAAAAGATGACTCAGACATGGTTTTCCCAGAATTGACCTCCAAATTGTGCCTTTTCTTATGACTAATGGTTGTTTTTCATAATAAGTAGGTGAATCTAAAATAGAGTAAGCTTCCTTCACCGAGTTTGCCCCTTCTATTCTAGCGTGTCTGGGCCATCATTCTCTCTGCCCCTTAGCCATTGAACAGTGTATTATAGCCACTCTGGGTTTTGTACTGCACAATTATGCAGTACATCAGCTGTTTCCCTTGTTAAACCTGAGTGGAAATCATTACTTCTGCCAAATGATCCTTCGAAATCAACTTCAAATTGCAGCTTTCCACTGCATATGTTTCTTGAAGAACTGCAAACTGTTATTGCTATGTCAAGGCTGCTCTAAGGCTCATATTATGGAATGTGATAGTTTTAAACACTATTGATTTCTTCTTTAAATGTAGAGAGTGGCTTTTGTTCCCCTCCCCCATCTTTTAATAATTAAGAAAAGTTAGAACTTTGGAGTAAGCAGCGTGTGGTTGGAAGTATAATTATTTTTCATACTCGTTGTTTTTTTAAAAATAAACTCATTAACTTGTGAACCAAACTGCTTATAAAGAAAGTTTTAGAGTAAATATCCTTCAGAGGATTTTTTGTTGTTCAGACTTAATCTAATTAAAGTGAGATTGAGTTATAGCAGTTCTTTAATATAAAAAATTGAGTTGCATAGTATACCAATTTTATGTTCAGTTTTAAATATCATTCTTCTCCTGTCTTGAAACTAACTTCGGTCAATATTTAGAACATAAAAAATAGTCATATTGAATAATTTTTGCCTATTTTGTAGAGTTTAAAGAAACCAAAGGCTTTGTTGGGGCTGAAATTGCTAGCTTTTAAAATTCCATAATGCTTTAGGTCTCCATAATGTAAGACATATTACTTTACGGCACAGAATAAACTGTTTCTGAAGTTGTAATTGTAAAATACATAATTTTCACATCAACTTAATTTCCTATAAAATGTAAAATATATGTAAAACTGTAGATTTGAGTTTAATTTTAAGCATTCTTCTGGAGTCTCTTATGAATAGGGTCTCATGTACGTAATACCTAATTTAACCTGAACGTAGTGACACTCTTGCATGTTACAACACATGACTATTTAAAATTTGTGCTGAGTTCAGCTAGTTTGCATTTTGTAGGTAAATGCATCATCGAGAAAGATAATTGCCCTAGCGTTGTAAAATCAAATGTGATTAACTTAAAAACAGGAGCTTAGCTGCAACTGTTTTAGTGATTTAGAATGTGAAATATCAGTTCCATGAGAATAAATATCATTTAATTTCCTGGAGTTTACTTTACGTACAGAATTATCGTGTGTATACAGACGTTATTTACCTATAATTGAGATAAATAAAATTTGAAGTAACAAAGCTAGTTGCTGTTTCCTTGTCTGGTAAAATATTACTGTGCAAATATGTTCAAAGTAAGTTCTGCAACATGCAATATACCGGGAATTTGTAAAGGAAGGGAACAGTACTTGCCCACCATTTGATCAGCTGCCTACAGAGTCATAAAGTAGCTATTAAAGTGACAGTTTGATGAACAAAAGTTAGTTTGGCTTTTAGCTGCCTGCATTGGTAATCTTCACCAGCTTTCTCTATGCCCATTTGCCTAATTAATTAAACAGCAAAACATCTCTAGCTTGAACAGTTCTTCCAGCCGTCCAGAACACAGGGAAATTTGTAGTTAATTTCTTTTTATTCTTGCTATATCACAGTAGTTAGATATGATTGTCATTGAATTCATCCAAAAATCACAGGGCAGTTTTACAATATGAAAACGAAACAATACTTGCCATAATAACAAAAACAATAACAATAACAAGCACACACACATATACAGTTTAAAAAGCCATAGGTTGTTTAATTAGCTAAAGGCCTGGGAGAAGAGGCATGTTTTTGCCTGGCATTTAAAAATATGTAACATGCATGAATAGCCTCCTGAAAAATAAATTAATTAAAATATTGTAAGAAGCCATAGGCACTGTGTAAGGGGTTTAAGAAATATTATCTTCAAATGCTTATAGTCATAAACATGATGTGGGTGCAAAGCATTTGCTGTGTAATGTATGTATCATTTATAGGTACTGTTAAAACGTTTAGCTAAGCTGAAACGTCATATATGCAATAAAATCTTCTTATGGTAGAAACACATCTTGTACCTTTTTAATCAGATCATTCCAGCAGCCTGTCTTTTTATTTTATTTCTTTAGTTTGAATAGGAAATTCAGAATAGTTCATGAAGTGAGTTCTTCAGAGGACCAGATTGGCTCCTGCTGCAGATCAGACTTTGTATAACTGCTTACAAGCTGGCACTATTCTGAATGTGATCACTCTCCTGAAGGATGGCCTCACAACTAATACTGCAGGAATCTGATTTGTGTCAAGGCCAGCTTTTTATGTGCCCATAAATAACCAGTAGGAACTTTGGGGTCAGGGCAGGTGTTAATAGTTCTTCTAATCTACTAAAAGTCTGATCACTGTCCTAGTCCCTTTTTCTCTTCACATAACACTTTTAGAATTGTAATACTTTAATAATGTTGATGTCAAGCTTTGGTGCTTGTTGCTAATTATTTATCTATTATAAATGCTCCTAGGGTGCCCTTCATCTACAGAGATACCTGGATGGCATACAAAGGTTAATTAAAAAAATAAAAACAATATAATACTATGAAAGATAAAACAACAACATAAAAACAATGGAGACAGTTTTAAAAGCAAGCAACAGGCTGGATACTGATCAACTTTAAAACTTTGGACTTTAAATTGCTCAGGCAAATAAATGA